CTAATTTGGGGGTGGACGCTACCGCTGGGCTAGCCAGGCGACAGGCTGGCAGGTCTCAGAAGAGCGAGGTCCGCATGACCATTTTCAAGAGGAAGGTTGCCAGGCTGAAGAAGCAGCGCCCCTTCTTGGGCAGACGTGCGCTTAAAATCTGCCCGTCAGGACCTATCCCTGGGGCGCTCTATGGCTGCGCTGTTTTCGGGATGTCCGACATAGAGCTTCTGCACGTTCGCAGGGGGGCTGCTTCTACTATTAAGCTGTCTGCTGGAATGCGGTCTCTTTCGGCCCTCATGATCTTCGAAGACGGCCCTGGCTGGTTCGGCTCCGTGGGTCCCGCGGTCTGGTATTCTCAAGAGATCTGGTTCAGGCGTACCTGTTTGTTCGATGGCGCGCTTTCCTGGCACGAGCTTCGTCTGGGGTGGGAGTCGGCTTTTCGGAGCTCTCGGAAAGTTACCTGGAGGCGCGTGTCAGGCCCGATGACTGCCCTTCGGCTTTCTTTATCTCGGATCGGCTGGGCTATGGATTCGCTCACGGAATTCATCGACGCCTTCGGCAGCAGGATTTCTTCAACCCTCTCGTCTCCGAAGTTGGTGGCTCAGCTACTCAAGCACGGGGCCCCGAAGGCTTTGGACAGGGATGTTGCCGAGAAAGAGGGGATTCAAGGCCGGGTGTGTTTTGACATCATGAAGTCGGCGTCGTCGTCGTCCAGATACACGCCCTTCGAACGGGGTTGCATCAGGAGTCTGGCCACCGACGCTGTTTGGACTCGAGAGCGAGCTTTAAGTTTAGGCTATCAGGTGGGCAGCTCCGTTTGCCAGATGTGCGGAGTTGGGCCAGCGCGCTATTGCATCGTCGGTGGTTGCGCCAGCACTGCGACGAGCAGCGCAGGGAGGTCTTGGGCGACAAGGGGGCAGGTTTCATCGACGAGGCGAAGGGCGTGTACTCGACTGAAGATCTCTTGCTTTTCACCAGGGGGCTCTTCCAGCATCCTGGGGGCACAGTGCCTCCACCTTGTTCTGCTGGCGGCGCGATTTGCGCCCCCGCTCCTGGGGGGTCTGTTGAAGAGGGTGGAAACTTCAAGCTTCAGGGCGAAGTGTTCATTGACGGCCCATGTGCCCGTCACCCTATTCGGGAGCTCTCCAGGACGGGCTTTGGGGCCCAGGTCCTAAACCAGGACGGCCCCCTCGGAGCTGGCATGGTTGCCCCTCTTTTGGCTCCGCGGCCCCAGACGCCCCAAGGCGGAGAGTGCGGCATCTTCGCGGCTGTTGCACATATGCTGGCTGGCCCAACCAATATGTATTCAGATTGCCAGTCTGTAGTCTGTCGCGCGCATCTCGCCAAGCAGCAAGCCTTGTCGCGCGAGCGAATGCACTCGGGTTTCATGCTCCAGGCTCGCATGGGCGATCTTTCACGCGCGCAGGCAGCCATCAAGGTGTGTGCTCACCAGGAGCTCGATGAATCCATGCCTGCTCGCGAGTACTTTGTGCGTCTTGGGAACCGCCGCGCGGATCGCCTGGCCAACCTCGGGAGGGAGCAGCACGCCCTCCCGAGCCCAGCTGGGTCGGACGCGATTTGGAGGAAGGTTTCCATTGCGCGCTTGGTAGCGAAGTTAGCCGCGCGGATCCTGCCCGTGGCCCCGTTTGGACCTTCAGGCTGTGGAACGGCTGGCCCCTGAGTCGAGCGTCTCTGGCCGCCAGGAAGGTCTAGCACACAACTGGGTCCAGCTTAGGCACGTCTTGGCAGTGTTCTGTTTGCCTGAGGGGCTCTCGGCCCCCTCAGCCACCCGCCGCCAAGCGCGCAGGTGCCGACGGCTTGCGAGGCCTCGCGGCGGAAGATTTGTCGCACCTAGGTCACGCCATTGCTGCGTAGGATTGCTCGGATGGCTCGTTTGTCGCCGCGTGCACTCGCTGCAAGCTGTATTCGACGGGTGGCAGAGTGCGAGGACTGCGTGCGCGCTGTTCCACGGAGCCCGTCAAGTTGTCTGATCACTCCATGCGCGGGCGCAGGCACTGCTGGGATCGCATTGCCAATGGCTTCCATCCCAAGGAGGATGGCGTCACCCTGCAGCATGTGGACCTGACGGCCGAAGGCACTCTGGATGCCCCCCCCCCCTCCCCCCTCGTTGAGCCCCCCCCCCCCCCCCTTCCCACCCCCTCCCCCCCCCCCCCCCGAGCCTCCCCCCTCTCAGGGGCATGCCGCGAGCCCAGGTCAGGTGCTGCTCAGAGTAGCAGTCGAGTTGGCACGTTACCGCACCGCTGCGCGGCCTGCGCAGGCGATCTACGAGCCAGTGTCTCAGTCGAGCTGCCGCGGCCGATCGGCCACCAACGCCCACGTGAAAGCGCTCCCGTCTGCAGCTGGAGCTGCGGCGGGCGCCTCTCCCTCTCGTCCCCACATTGCGCTGAACCCAGTTTATCGGAATCTACAGTAGTCAGGACGTCGCGCAGCAGCGCGAAGCTCGCTCGCAGCAGCGGTTCTTCCAGGCTCCCTGCCCAGTCCCCGTTGC